AAAAAAAAAATTATCAGGCCTTAAACCTATATGATTTCAAAAAATTGAATCGTGTGATGAAATTTCTCCTTTATTAAAATAATATATATGTTAGGTTTAAAATGATATAGAAAGAAACAATCATGTGTTTTTTTTTTTTTTCAAACGACAGATTATTATAAATAGAGAACATAATTACAAGTGCATAACAACCGGTAACAGTCGGAATGAGCAGCTACACAGCTGAAATCCTTAAGAGGACAACCCGAGAGGCCTAATCGATACACGTACATTGCATTCACAAGCTCCCAATAGAAGAATACAGCTCCAATAGGAGAATAAACACTACACGCAATAAATAAAACACGAAAAAACACTAACACACCAAAAAAAAGACTAGAATAAGTGAAAATATCTATTTTCACCCCGTTTTGAAGTCTTGTTAAGTTTTCCACACCGTCTAATAAAAAGTTAAGTTTTTCACCCCAGAAAGTGCGAAAGTTATGTGAAAACTGTCGCATATTCATCGCATAACTGTCCATATGCGAAGGATATGCGAAAAACTGTCGCATAACTGTCGCATATCAATTGCATAATTGTGCAAAGACATTGTGCGATAAATATGCGACAGTTATGCAATTGATATGCGACAGTTATGCGACAGTTATGCAAAAAACTGTCGCATAACTGTCGCATATCAATTGCATAATTGTGCGAAGGCATTGTGCGATGAATATGCGACAGTTATGCGACAGTTTTTCGCATAACCTTCGCATATGGACAGTTATGTGATTAATATGCGACAGTTTTCGCATAACCTTCGCACTTTCTGGGGTGAAAAACTTAGTTTTTTATTGGGCGGTGTGAAAAACTGAATGTGTCTTTGTTATGGGGTGAAAAAGATTTTTTCCCCTAGAATAAACCCTCTCATTAGCTAATCGGCAACCCCAAACCCTAAGAGAGTAGCATCGAACACGTAACAAGAAACTCCAGACCAAAGTCGACTAACCAGTACCCACCCAAGTACCACGGACCCTTCCAACAACAATCGCCGTCAGAAAATTCTAGTTGTTCACCACGAGCCACACCCACACGCACCAACGACAACCGTCCCAACCGAGACCAGGGCAGCCCCTGTAGATGGAGCCATATCTGATCCCAACACCAGAAATCGGTGGACCCACGCGTGGATCCGAAGCGAGACACCGGCCCAAACTGCCGCCAAAGCAGCGCTCAGTCCTGATGGCGGGGGAGGAACTCGCGAGTAGCTGGACACCACCATCCCACAGCCATGGCCACCGCGAAGCACAGAGAGACTCCACACCTGAAGACGGTCCAGCAGGACGCCATCCCTTCTCCACCGACCCGAATCAGGTTGCAGATGCCAAGAAACCACCGGCAGGAGGGTCCTATAGAAGACAATTGACCCCGACCAAGAGTTGGAAAAAGGGGAAATAATCATGAGTTGTAGGCTTATGTCTCGAAATAGACCCAAGTGGAGATTTTGGGCTACTTTTCCACATGTTACATCATCTAAACTTAGTGTTTTTTTGTTACATTAGAGACCCTTTTTTTATACACAATTTTCAAAATTCTATGTGGCACTAAACTTTTTCTCCAATAGAGTCAAGCACTATAGATGTTTTAAATGAGTGTTTGGGTACGTTAAGGATTTTTTTTTTTTTTTCTATTTGCAACCTGGGCAATTAAACAGGGATCATATAACAGCAACCAAACATTTAACAGAAAGACTATTTGGAGCCAATTGACCATGAATTATCAATATTACATTGTTCATACGATTAACAGGACTCTTCTTCATCTAATTGAATATTGATATTGTAGAGAACTAAAATAATAACAGGACTCTTCTCCATCTATCCCTAATGTTATAAGAACAAGTAACAGTAGCTTAATACCCTCCTTATGGCACAATGTAACTGGACAAAAGAGATTGAATGGGCAGAACTGATCAAGGGCCTCCAATAAACTAAACAACTATTAAGAACCTAATGCTGGGTGATTGTGCCCACCATTCAACAATTCATAATGAACCGAATAAACCAAAGAACACAAAGCAAGACAACATGAATGAAAAGCATCACAACAAATTCTTCAAAGCGCTCATTTACTAGAGAGAAATAACTAATAAGTCTCAAATCAAAACATCAACTCAACCACTCCAAAACTCTAACCCAATTACAATCCACCAAACACATCTCAGCAACACAACCCAAAATCACTAATTCTAACCGAACAAATTCATCAAAAAAAAAAAAAAAAAACATCTTGACAACTGACATAAGCAAACAAGAAACCACATACGGCAGACCTCAGGCCCTCTCCCCTCTGATCCTCCTGGCCAGCTGGATATCCTTAGGCATAATCGTCACCCTCTTGGCATGAATGGCACAGAGGTTAGTGTCCTCGAACAGACCCACCAGGTAAGCCTCCGCCGCCTCCTGAAGTGCCGCCACGGCTGAGCTCTGGAACCGGAGATCGGTCTTGAAGTCCTGAGCGATTTCCCTCACCAGCCTCTGGAAAGGAAGCTTCCTGATGAGCAGCTCCGTACTCTTCTGGTACTTGCGGATCTCACGGAGAGCCACCGTCCCAGGGCGGAATCTGTGGGGCTTCTTCACGCCTCCGGTCGCCGGAGCGGACTTCCTCGCCGCCTTGGTGGCCAGCTGCTTCCGTGGCGCCTTCCCGCCGGTTGATTTCCTCGCTGTCTGCTTGGTGCGGGCCATTTGATCCGCTTGCTACGAATTCGAGACTCTGATCGATAAATTGAGGGAGCTCGGTAGGTGTAGAAGATTGATTGCAATGTAGAATTTAGCGATTTGAGCGAAAATTTATAGGAATGTGTTTGGGAAAATCTGAAGAGAGCGGGAGGAGTGAAAATTTTGGGGATTTCGAAATTTTTCGTTTGGAAAATGAGAATGTTTTTGAGCCGTTGATAGGATTAAAAATCAACGGTAGAGATTTAGTTAGAAGTGTTTGGCGATCACTATCCGGAGCGTTCACTAACTAGCCAATGAGACTGCTCAAAATAGGTTTTATTTGGTTTGATATAGCCGTCGATTGGGGGATGTGTTTGACGGTTCAGATTTAACGGGGTTACAGCGCACTTTACGAAAATAGGGTCAAAGCCCAGTCAAAATATTTTTGAGGATGGTGATGTGTTTGTTTATGTGAAGTACTAGTATTGACCTGTGCGATGCACGGGATGGTATATTTTTATGAATATTTTTTAATATTAACATTAAATATAATGTACTTTGTAGATATGTAACACATATAAAATGGAAGAAAAAAACAAATATAAAACTTCATAAATTAATAAACACTTCTTTGTACACAACGTTTTGGGTTGATTTGTTGGCAAGTCATCGTCATTACAGACTAATATCTTCAACCCACTTCGATTGGTGACACGGGAGGCGGCAACATATAATTGCCCGTGACTGAACACCGACTTCTTAAGCAATAAACCAACACGGGATAGTGATTGTTCATGGCTCTTGTTGATAGTCATGACATACGAAATCATAACGGGAAATTGTCGCCTCTTGAACTTGAAAGGAATTCTGAAATCGGAAGGAGTTATAGTCATTCTAGGAATCAACACCTTTTCTCCTTCATTATCCCCAGTGAGTATCCTACACTCAAGAACATGAGCAGATAGTTTTGTCACAACCAACCGTGTCCCGTTACATAAACTCATAGAATGATCCATATTCCGCAACAACATGACGGGGGTTCCAATCTTCAAATGCAACTGATGATTTGGAATTCCCGAGCATTTGATGCTATTCAAGAACTCGGGCGTATGGATATCAGAAAGAAAATCATTATTCGAGTCGGACTTGCAAGTACTGCCAGAGCTCAAGTACGTAATCAACAATGTCATGTATTCATTGATGGACTCAACAACATCAAGAGTCGGTGCTAATATTGTCATGTCATTCAAATAATTGGGATCATCGATTGTCTGCTTAAACATTGGATGCGTGCTTTCTACAATTTGAGCAATCGGATCATCGGATGGTTGAAACAATATAATATGTCAATCATTGCACAACCATCATTTGACCCTCCTATAGTTCCATCACCAATGCTCGCAATCCATTCAGCGAACCGAGCAACATCTTCACGTTCCTTAGAATCTTTAAAACTCTGTAGACGCATGTTCTTTGTAAGCCTGAGCACAGTACAACTCCGCCAGATATGGATTTTGTTAATATTTAGATTTTTTAAACAATTCGAATCAAATTCCCATTATAAAAACATATTAATTTAATTTAAAAATTTAAAAAAAAATAAATTAATTCAATTGCAAATATAAATAGAAAAAACATAAATAGAATAAGATTGAAGTTAAAAAAAAAACATCACAAGCACTAATATAGTAGAAAAATTGAAAATGCAACAAATTAACACTTGAAATAAATTGAAGTAATTATTTAGTCCCAACATCCTCTTAAAAACTCTCCATCGCAATCTTGTTGTTGGTGACATACATATTCGGCTTGTACCATTTGCTACTTGAAAATCTATATATTCAATTTTATAACATATATTCAAAATTACATAAATTAAATATCAGTTTGATACTTGAAAAGTTATACATAAAATAATACAATATATATATATATACAACATTACAAATATTTTACAAAAGTGTCAATTGTTCGAGAACACTTACTTTGTACGAAGATCTAAAATTCCGGGTTATTAGCAACAAAAAGGCGTGTGACATTCAGAAATGAACTCAATTGATACTCACATGTTGCAAAATAATATATATTAATTTGCAATCAAAACTATATATATTGATATTTAATCTTT